ACGAAGCAACTCAAGGACGTGCCGATTCTGCTTCTTAACGGAAGAAATACTTCTGCTCATCTTAACTGATTGTGGAACCTTAACGCGCATCTGAGAAACTTACTTAGCCCAGAAGAATTGAAATTGCTGTCAGCTAAGCAACTCCTTCAATTCATTGAATGTAACTATAGCTATAACAGTGACCACAAAAGATCATACATGTCGCACAATCGTGCATAGCTACTTACACAAATCACAAAAAATTACGATTAGAATTAAGATTACACACAAGCGCACAGTTTACCTAATGATAATTTAGTGGCCATAGACATCTAACTATCCTGGAATAAAATCAAAATTTAGAATTGTGCGCTATAGCGTAGGCTCAACGCATATAAAATGTTAGAACATGATTGTATACATAAAAATTATTTTACATTGCAATCCAACGCAAATCCACTTTACGTTTACCTGATATATTATTCGCTTTAAATGTCATATTATGTTACGATATGTCACGTATTATATTATGAAATGTTTTTAACGGTTTTGACACTCTTGCATCACATTTTGCATACAATAGCAAACGAGAATTCAACCAGCACATAAAAACTTATTTATTTTGCGAAATATTTCCTTGTCGTAACGATGTCTGGAAACATTGCAAGTAATAAAGGTGAAAAACACGTTTGTACAAACTAGATTTTAGATTCTTATCTCTTCATCAACAAATATGTAACCATATGACGTATCATTATTAAAAAAAAGGAATATCGTTATACTAATTTAAATAATTGACTTAAGCTTGTTGCTGAAGATTCACGAGGTTAAAAATCAAAAAACATCCTGATTTCAATATAGAAAACGGCTGGGTACTAACATCTGCTTGGGATCCTATAATTAATAAAATTAAATCCCAACCCAAGTATATAACTGCAAGACTTCAAGATACTGTTACGAGCTTAGGGTTCGTGACAGTAAAAACTGCCGATGAATTACCAAAATTGACACTTTAATTGCCGAACACCAATCAAAACCTAAAACACACTAATAATTAATCACACTGATAACTTTAGTTCACTTTATTTCGCTCCGAAGCTTCGCTTGAATCGCCTATTCAATACTGCCCCGAACGGAGCTTTCAACGGCTTTATATAGGCTTTTTCAACGAAACATCCAGAATATTCCAGAAAATACCGGCCCCGACCAACCAGGTGTATAAAGTTCGAATGTGGGGCTTTCTAAAGCTTATCTCTACCATTCGCTACTAGATGGCGCTAATGGGAGAGTTCTAGAAAGATCTTGACAATCCTATTGCTGATACTTGATACCAGATGGCGCTAGTACCATCAACTGTGGCGCGCAACAATACTATAAGTTCATACTGCACAGATCAGAACAAAAATTAATAATTTTAATCTAGATGTAGCCGTGGTTAAATATGACATTAAATCGTCGAACACCTCAGTCCCCCGTGACCAATGGTGCTGTAAAGTACTCGAAACATCAGGAATATATTATAAGTTAATATACGCAATAGAATACGTAAAACTAATTTTACTTAAATGTGCAGTGTTCGCGTAAATACAAGAAACAATTATGGATACTACCAATTACTTGGGATCCTGTAATTTCTGTTACCGTAACAGCCTATTAAATGTCCACCGTTGAACATAGGCCTCCCCCACGAATACTTCATAGGACTCATTTGTTACAGTCGGCACGTCTTGCAAGCGAGTTAGCTGCTTTTATTATTAGTTGTAGTTAAAAAGACGCTGCTTCCTGATCTCCTGACTTCTTTCCTTCTATCGCCATTAATGATACCCAGGGGACGATATAGGGTAATGAATGTTCTCAAACCGCCACCACATGATTCCTGCAGTAACCTAATAAAATTAATGTGTACATTAAGACATATAAATCCGGGTCACCGTTGAAGACAGAATTTTTTATGATTAAGCGTTAATGGATCAGGCATCATTACAGTTACAGCCTTTGATAGGCTCAAAACAATAATCAATTATCAAAACATAACCGTAAAACTGTTTTTATCACTATTATTTTATTATTATTATTCGGGGTATCTATATAGTTTTGTCATCTGATCGGGTTCCATAAATATATAATTGCGAACGAAAATGATAAATATACATAAATAAGAATAAAATAAAATAAATACATAAACAGGTATAATTTCGGTCGACAGCCCACCCCACACCTCGTGAGCCAGGTCCAGATATTTTGTTCGCTTATCTGTTTCGGCTTTCACGAGGTTCTAGTCATATGGAATGGTAATGTCGACCAAAAATATCCTTGACTGTGCTCGGTCAATCAGCACAATATCGGGCTTATTCGCAAGAATAGTCCTGTCTGTGATGATGGCCCGGTCCCAGTAGAGCCTGGCGCGGTCATTTTAAAGCACGGCTTCCGGCAAGTACATGTAATACGGCAGTCTCCGGTCAACGAGACCATATTTAAGAGCGAGCTCCTGGTGTAGAATTCTAGCTACTAGGTTGTGCCTGTGCAAGTACTCAGAGAAAGTAGAAAGCGCCGAACAACCGGAGATGACATGCCTAAGTGACTCACCGGGATGGCGACAAGCTCGACAGATGTCGACGGTGCCATCCTTTAGGATGTATCTACGATAGTTGTTGGTCTTAATAACTTGATCCTGTATCGCACAGACAAAACCCTCGGTTTCCCCGAAGAGGTCACTGAAACGTAGCCAGTTGAGGGAGGCGACTGTGTCTACGAAAGGTTGACGTAGAGCCTTGTAGAACCTCCCGTGGAGCTCCTTCTCCTTCCACACAGTCTCCCGGTCGGAAATGCTCTGTACTGCTGGTTCTTGCCATTGCTCGTTGGCCAAGGATAGAGGGGTAAGCCCTTTATCACAACAAATGACGTCCATATGGAATGGATTATCCGATCTCGTCAGAAAGTAGTTACGGAGGCTGCATACTTCGCGATTATGCACGGTAAGCGCGCTTAACAAGCCACGACCACCACATTTCCACGGCAAGTACAGCCTCATAATCGAAGATCTCAGGTGATGCATCCTATGGGACGTCATAGTAGTGCGGACTTTTTTATTCAGGGCATTAAGTTCAGTCTGAGTCCACCTAAGTATGTCAAAGGTATACATGAGTACAGGCATGACCCAACCGTTATATGCTTGTGTTTTATTCACACCGGACAAAAAGGCTGTTAAGCACTTTGGTCATGCGTGCATAAACAGACTGTTTCATACCAGCCTCATCGATACCGATGTTCTGTGACATACCCAGGTATCGGTATGTTTCAGCCTCGGAAAGGGTCCTTAATTTGACGGGTATAGATAAGTCTATGCCCTCAGAGTTAGCAAACCTTCCCCTTTTAACATGGAGGACCGCACACTTATCCGTTCCCAGCTCCCTTCCAATAGAACTGCTAAATTCACACGTAATATTTAGCAATTCCATAAGATGGGAGCAACTGGAGGCGAATAACTTAAGGTCATCCATATAGAAAAGGTGGGTCATTTTTGTACCTCCTTTTCGAAGCTGAAATCCCCTCCCGGAGCCCTCTAGTAATGTACTGAGAGGGTTCAAAGAGAGGCAGAGCCAGATTGGACTCAGACAATCGCCCTGGAAGATGCCCCTTCTTATCCTTATGCGGCTTTCCGCAGCCGTCATCCGCTCACCCAGATGACAAAGGATCGCACTCCACTGCTCCATACATTGCTCGAGAAAGTCTCTAACAGTACAGTCAATCTTGTACAGCTCGAGAACCCTCTTAAGCCATGTTTGGGGAACCGAGTCAAATGCCTTTTTGTAGTCTATCCAGGCGGCGGAGAAGTTCCAACGGTTGCGTTTCACGACTTTGCCAATGACCGCGTCAATGAGGAGTCCACGACCACCGCCCCGACATCCATTTCGAGCAAGCGACATCACCTGATTTAAGTTCTGTTGACGAGTGATTCTTGCGCTCAAAATGGATGTTAGTGTCTTGTATATGGTCGGCAGATACGTGATGGGGCAGTGTTTGCTCGGGTCTGTGGTAACCTGGTCTTTAGGAACCAAATGAGTGATCCCAGTAGTGAAGAGATTAGGGAGCGACTTCTGGTTGAGAGCCTCTTGAAACTGACGGGCGAGCGCAGTATGACACACCATGAACCCCTTCAGCCAGTGGTGATGCAGCCCGTCGAGTCCCAGAATTTTCCAGTTCGGGGCTCTACGGACCGCTTCAGCTACGTCATCCGGCGTTATGATGACGGGGTCCTTGGGCGTAATACTCACACACTGATTCGCCACAACTTCCGTTCAAGGGCCCTCGCTGTGGTTTACGGGCTCTGACCACAGGCTGCACCAGAATACGACAGTGTCGGCCTGATTCGGTGCTGGGCCCGTTCCACTTACCATTGGTCACTCCAATGATTTATAGAGCCTCTTCTGATTACTCTGGAAGAGACAATTCTGGTTGAACCATGTCGACCTCTCGGTATATCACCGAATCCGCTTTCCCTAAGTAGCGATTTTCTGCTTCAGGTCGTCTATGCGCTCCGTCAGTTTTTGCATTATATCCGGCTGAAATTTCCAGCAAATTCCATCCTGACGGCACAATCCTTGGCTGTTATTGCCTGACCTGAAGCATATCAGTCTGCCGATGAGGGCCTTAGCCTTTGCGATACGTTCTTCAGTTCTTATTCTCCAGGCTGGGATAGCGCTACTTTATCCAGTAGCGCGTCCAGCCGGAAAGTTTGGCGCCAATAATGCGGCATACTGCCAGTGCGGCACCAAAAAGAATTGAGGTCGTCTCGCAAAGGTCCCGGCTGGCTTCCAAATAGGTCACCAGCATTGGGTTCAGAGCCCTCACGACAGCCCGATTCCGCTTGCTTAGGGCTATGCGGAGAAGTCGCGGTCGATTTTCGAGAGGCGTACTGCGCGTTTCCACAATCGCCTCTTCCAATGTACTCCTCATATGCTCTAATTCCAGTTCCTGGGCGACTGTTCCATCATCGTTTGAATCAACAACAACTGGGGTATTCACGCGGCATCCACGTTTGCGGGTTGCTCTACAATTTGTGGCGCCGCATCCTCAGCCGTAGTATTTTCATCCGATGAGGGAACAGCCTCACGTCGTAGCTGTTCGAGTTCGGCGACATCAAATATGTTTGAGCGCAAGATATACCGAACTCGATCTGCCAGGTTTTGCTCTGTTACGGTTAAAGATGGCTCCAGCTCAGCAAAAAGACGATGCATCCTAGCCCGATACGCCAAACCTCCAACTTCTCCCCCTTTCGCTCTAAAATACGTCCGCAATGCGTTGGTATTCGTTTCGGTTGTCCATCGCATGCGGAGTACTCCACCAGTGGCGGGTACCGATTGCTGGGCCCGCGAAGACCCTGCCGACACCAAGCCAGCTGGTGGGGATGATGGATGCGAGGGGCTGATGGGTTGTCATGCAGCACCTCTCGCTCGGCTGGCGGTTCGCATGCTGTCGCGTCCAGCGCCAGCTCCAGACGCGCCCTGGCAACCTCCAGGCAGCGGCCCTTTGCGCATTCTTCCGTATTCCATCATCCATAGTGTTGGGCGTCATTTAACGGGAGACGCCCAAACCCGGCGCCGTGTCATTGTGGGGCAATGTGCACACGCGGGCCTTTGCACCTTCAATTTTTGTCGAGGCACGGCACTAACACCTCTCGGCAAGGTGCTGACTGACTGCGCTGACGTAGCGGTTTTGTCACATAACCGTTACGTCAGCGGGCGATGGGGTCGTCACATCCCTACGCCTATTATTAAGCTATTGCATAGCTTTTATCGCGGTCTTTGAGCGCGGCGACCGAATCAAGAAATTCCGTAACGAAATAAACCTATGACCCGAAAACCTAACATCGTCTAACGTCGTTTAAGTTCGACAGACTTCGGCACGGTGTTGTGTGCGTGCTAGTAGATGTTTGCGTGTAGACTAGTTGCATGTATTGTAAGATAATAAAAATATTTTAAACAATAATATAGTTTATTGCAAGAAGCATATTCTTTGGATTTATATGAGTCGTCGTCCTTCTAGCAACTTTCGTTAATTTAGAGTATTTAATAAACACAGACTTTATAGAAAATTATCGTTTGTCGGAAGAACTCGTTAATTACCATAAACCGTTTCAATGATAAAAATTCCTGAATAACCTACATCTATTGTAAGATCATAAAAATATTTAAACAATAGTAACTTCTAATTTATTCAGTAAAAGAAAAAAAATTGTTTTCTTATCGGTCACCATGCTCAAAAAGTGTAACTTGAATTAATATCCAAGAAAAAAACAAAGAATAAATACTGCATAAATAAAATAAATAAATAGTTATAATTGCATAAGTTGATAAAAATGCTATGCAATAGCTTTACCGCGGCAGTCCCCGAGTACACGTACAAGGTGTCTCAAAAGAAAGTTCACATTTAAATCTTTTTTTAAAAGAAAAGTCTTAGCTTTATTGAAAAAATGTTTATTTTATATTGAAGTACACTGTTTGGGAATTTATTTTTTAAAAATAACATTGTCCAAATGTAAACCGTTGCGCTCTCGGCATTCATTTAGTCGGGCACTAAAATTGCCTATGACAGCTCGGCAGGTAGTCTCCGTGATGGCTGCCATTTCATGACGGATATTTTCTTTTAATTGTGCCAGGGAAGTCGGTTTATTAGCGTAAACTTTTGATTTGACATAACCCCACAGGAAAAAATCCATAGGCGTTAAATCGGGACTCCGTGGAGGCCAATTTATGTCACCTCGCCAGGAGATTAATTTGTTCGGAAAAATTTCTCGAACTCGAGGCAGAGATCTGTTGGACGTGTGTGAAGTTGCTCCATCCTGCTGGAACCATGTTCTTTGGTTGTAACCAGGAAAGTTTGGCAGTTGGGGGACGAAAAACTCGGCTAACATCTCCACATAACGCTCTGATTTCACTGTGAGTGTGCGTCCCCTTCCATCTTCAAAAAAGTAAGGGCCGATAATTCCTCGCGCCGACATCGCTGCCCATACGGTGACTTTGGGTGAATGTAGAGGTTTCTGATGTTTTTGTTTTGGGTTGGTTGCACTCCAGTAACGACAATTTTGCTTGTTTACATGCCCATTCAGGTGAAAATGGGCTTCATCGGAAAACAAGATGTTGGTGAACGTTGGAAAGCGCTCAATCATCTGATTTACAAAGGCAAGCCTCTGACCAGCACCTTGAGGCTTCAGTTCTTGCACTAACTGAATTTTGTACGGGTGCAGCTTTAAATCTTTGTGTAAAATGCGGCATAATGAAGATCTGTGCACATTTAAAGCAACAGCACGCTTCCGAATCGAGAGGTTTGGATCATCTCGAATAGACTGAGTAACACTGTCCACGTTTTCGGCTGTTCTTGATGTTCTTGGTCGCCCAGATTTTGGTTTCTCCAGAGTTGACCCAGTCTCTTCAAACTTCTCAACCCATTTTGCAATGAGACGAGTGCTAGGCGCATCATTTAAGTGACGAATATGTCGAATACTGCAGAATTTTCTACGCGCTACAGTCGCCGAATTACCGTTTTTGTAAAACTCACGTACGCACAACGCACGGTCCGCACCAGAGAAACGCTCCATAGCGACTAAATTCCCAAGAGCCAGACTACCGACTGACATACCCCCCGCGCCCCTCAGAATAGTTGCTTTCGCGTAATAAGATAAGCAAATGTGAACTTACTTTTGAGACACCTAGTATTTTTATTCAATATCAAGTATCCAGGACTCATGTTTTTCAAATTATAATTATTGAAAATATAAAAATTAAAAATCAAATAATCTAACAAAATATGATGCGACAAATATATTTAAACAATTACTTATTACTAAATACTGTAATGCACGTAAACATCGCTGGGCACATGCAGTCTACAACATTGTTGCCGGTAGGGACAATTAACTCTATCACCTATCATTTTAAGAATGCCATTGGGGCCACTATAGTTTTCATTCTTAGTTAATTAATTGTTAGTTAATAAACATTCATAGATCAATAAAGACTTTCATTCCCCTCTTACTATCAATCACTTTCATAATATCCTATCAAAGTCCACTCCGGAAGTTAGCCTTCTTCATAGATTGTCACAGTTGTGACGCTTGGCAGACGGGGTAAGCTGCGCCTATCGAAGCATATTTTTTTATTTTTAGTTGTTATAAGGAAGGAGTGGTGCTTATCTTGGTTATTTCCCTCCCGACACCCACGGGGCGATATAGTGTTGTAAATATTCTTAGGGTCTCTCAGTCGCACATTTTTTTCGGCAACAAAAACCTCATAAAAGCTAAAACAGTTAAAATGTATATGGACATGACTTACGAGCTGACTGACATTATATTATGTATTCCGTTAGTCTTTTCTGTGAAAGCATAATCTATAGCAAGTTCTTTTGACATCTGAGGCGACGAAGACATTATGACAGAGCGCTCTGAACTATATTTTACTAAAATTACTTTTAGATAAAGCTAATATTGCATTAAATAAGTTATTACTACGTTAACAGGTAACAAAATATATGTAGTAATCAAAACAAAGCAACACTGAACTACGGCACAAGTAGGTACTAGAAAAGCAATTATATTTCCAAATAACAGCCGGCAAACAGCGATTGCGAGAGAGACGTCTGGTAATTTGAAGTTAGAAATTTGCGGATTGTTGAATTACTTTAAACGCAGCTGCCAAACGATTGCTTAGTGTGATTCTTATATAATTTTTGCTCACATTTTATTGACATTTGAAATGTATTTCGAATATATTATTACCATCGCCATCATAACTACAAAATGAAAAAAAAAACACTTTTCCGCTCCCCCATAAAATAATTCATAGGGAGATATTTGCCACGAATATTTACGGGGTTGCCATAGGTAGTTAATTCTCTTACATTGCCACTACACGTAAGAGAATGCTCCACCTCTACCTCTGATGCACTACCTCGTACCTAAAAACTCAGATATTATGTTGTCACCTCTGTGTCATGGTATATCTGTTAGTAGTAAAGGGGATCTCCGGTTCATTATTTAAAGTAGCAATTTAATTAACTACCTTTTATAATGATTATCATCATCATTATCGTCATCGTCATGCATTTAAATAAAGGTTGTCATGTGGCAGCCTAGTACCGGCAAGCAAAGTTTAGGGCTGCACCTCTAGATAGAATAATGACCTGTTAAGAGTCGATTGATACGGTTGTCTTAGAACTGTGCTTTTGCAGCATTATTTGGGGGAGGCCTATATTCAGCAATGTACTTATGATGGGATGTAATGATGATACTTTAAAAATAAAGATAAAACGAGACAGCTTTTTAATTTGGTAGAAAAACCTTCTCATCAAAACATAATACAAATGGCGTTAATATCTCAATCAATTAACCGTAAAATAAGGTCACATCACGTTACTCTGAGAGTCATTGAATTATTCGCGAGTTTGAAGCTCTACGAAGATTACTATTATATCTAACTTTGTTCTTGGTGTATTATAATAATTGATATGCTTGTTTCGGTGATTGTATTAATTGAGTAATAGTAAAAGGGGTATTAGTTTTAGTGTTCTATAAAAGTTTAGCATAAAGATCCATGCAAATGGTGGGATTATCTGTTCCAACATAATCTTCAATGCATACTTGCTAGTCGGCACATTTAAAGGTCTTTTTCCAGCAGTGGACTAAATATGATAACGTGTTTTTATTTAGAATTCAAAATTCCGAAAAAAAAAACAGCATAAGTTAATTCCATCATAGTCGATGTTTCTGTAATTTTGAGACGTAATATTTACTTTTTAGGAATGCTCTTTGGCAAGTACGTAATAAAGTCTGTACAGTCTAGCCGAGCCAGCATTGGTACTGAGAGGTGGGACACCCATCCTGCACAGGAATCCGCCTGGGTGTGTCCACCATTTTACCTATTTCTGTCGCTAGGCAGCAGTGCGTTTGCTGTGTGTTCCGATCTGAAAGGTTGGAAAGTATAATTAGCTGCTGGGGGCATCCCATCTTAAGCCTCAGAGGTGACAACGCATTTGTAGCATTTCTTGATCAAAGTTTGTTGCAGGTGTGCACTACAAGTATATTTATCACTTATATTTTAGAAAAAAAAAGTTGTTTAATGGAAGATTCAATGGTAATAAATTATAAATTACACAATGTATATGGACCCAGGTAAAAAAATATAGGTGTACGAGATACTCAGTCCGCAGCCAGCACAAGCGCAGGAAAACACTTTAACTATCG